ATCGCAAGTAAATAATCGTACGCTAATGGATGAAATTTTCAAAACTGACTCATCATTTATATATGATATCGCTTTATTGTAGAGTGCATCAGTTTTTGGTGCAGTTCAGTTGAACGCTGCAGATAGGAGTCATCAAGAAATGTTCAACTTTAGAGGCAGCAGATCCACCAGTAGGAGGGCTCTAAATGCCGATTCTAAAGAGCCTGAATCAAGTTCATAACAATATTCGCCTTCCCATTCATGGTTTCTAAGTGAGAGGGTGCTCGCTGTCCTGCTTTCAGTGCGAATGGCTGGCGTTATTGACGTGACCGGTCAATCTCTCTAAAGACATTTAGTCTAACGACAGTTTGCCTAAAGATACATTGCCTGACGGACAGTTTGCCTAACTCACGGTTTTCAATGGATATTTCGCCTAATAGGCAAACTGTTCCTTAGGCGAACTGTCCGTTAGGCAGTGTGTCTTTAGGCAAACTGTCGTTAGGCTAAATGTCTTTAGACAGATTGACCGGGTACCGTTATTGAGAGGCAGCGATTTACATGGAAATGCTTGAACGGAAAGAATTTCCCAAACATAAGTTTCTCATATGTTCATTCTGATGCAATTCCATCCGATTGACGAGTCCGACACCAACTCTGTACTGTTCTTCCGAGAAACAGTTCTCGTGCAGATCTCATTCATATGCATTTGCACCCAGTTGATGTAATCTTCGCAAATAAATGACAGCTCGAAATAGCTCATTTTTGGATCAATGATAAACAAGTGGATGATGCATACAGAATTTATGAATTTTCGTCGAAAATTTTTTGTGTTTCATCTTAATAGAATGTCGAAAAAAGGCGACAAATCGCAGCTAAGCAGCTGAGTAGAAATAAACACTTGATCTTTTCTTGATCTTCATCGAGTTCTCAAGTTTCTGCACATAAGTTAAACCTTTTAAAAACGAGAGGAAGATATTTGCAGATGTTAAAAATAAAGAGATATTAAAAAGAGATATTTGCAGCAGTCATATATGAACAGTATCTTGCTTACTTGAGTTCTTTTTCGGCAACTCTCCGCTCATTCTCACAGTCAACTAGCATTATCTGGTGAACGGAGAGATGTGCTCGGTCATAAGTTAACGATTTCTCACTTGCACTCACATTTTTATAAGGAACTAAAAATACATATGAGACGAACGAGGAACCGAATAATCGAAAACGAATGAATAAATAAATAAATAATCAATCTCAAAAGAACACTTTTATCTGCAGATGTTAGCAATAAACTGGTACAATCAACAGCTACGCATAATATAAGCATAACATCAAGTCTTTTCTTCCACATTACCATATTTTATACATCCATTCCATATTCATTCACTCTATCTATGAGGAGTAGCGTATTTCTTTGAGTACTTTTTCCCTTTCTCTAACAAACAATTTTTTACACTTACTGCCACACTTAATTCTCGACTTTACGGATGATTTTATACGAGGGATACTCGTGTCAAAATGATCTCCGAAGTACAAAATTGAGTGTGCTCCCATCTGTATCAACTTAATCAATGACCTCGTTATTAGTTGCGCGTTTAGCAAATTCTTTTCTCTTGTGAAGAAGCGAAAAAACATGCAAGATCGACTTTATCCTCCCTTCCCTTCTCTTAGTTCGCCGCCTTCAATGGCTTCCACCTATAAGAACAACCTCGACAAAATTAGGTCTCTTCGAGTTTTTAAATTAGGCATATAGCGGCGTATGCGCATATGAAGGTTCTGTCATAAGTCTTGTAATAAATTTCTGGTCAATTCCAAACGTTTCCGCAATTATTTTTCATGATCTTTATCCGTTAGATTGTTTTTACTACTGCAGTGTCTGGTTTTTGAAGTTTTCGTTCATCTTTTTGCTGAATTCAAAGGAGATCTCATCACGCAGAAAATTTCAAATTAGTTCATGCTCACATGATATTCTGATGTTAAGCAAAAAATTCAATGAATTACAACAAATCAAAGAATGTTCGCAGTAAAAGATGGACCGGGCTCAGGACATTTCAGAACAAGCAGTAAATGTGTGATATAGTCCATGGAGATGGCTTTTAAACATTTCAACAACCTGACATTCTGAAGTTGACGTGATAAGATATGCGGTGACAGAGCACACAGCTCATGCAACTCAATAGTGCTTTCAGGGAAGTTCCCTGCTTTCATAAGGAAAGATGCATGGTCGCTTTTTAAACTCGACTTAAATCTCTTTAACGTTTGCTTATAACTATTTTTTTTAGAGAGCAGAGTTTGCGCCAGATTGATGATAATGATTTTGATAATTTGTTGATCTGTTTATCTGGTCACTGAGGATCTGCAAATGAAATTACAGAAAGATTCNAGAGAGGGAGGGAGGATATATCGTATAAAACTTTCAGCTGTTGCATATTTTGTTGTTTTTGATGTAATGTGATGATCTCATCACAAAATAATGAATTTTTTTCCTTAGTTATTAGTGAGTGCCTCATTTCCTCACATGACTCACAACAAACACTGTACATTAAACATTATTTATTCATACTTGTTTATCTCCTAATGTAACTCTCCGTTCATGTACGACCGCATAAACGATTTAATTGAGTTCCTATATACCGCCTACCATCCAATATCCAACTCTGTTGACTGCCAGAGAGATAGGTGGATAGATCTATTCTACAACTGTGAAAGATAATAATTGTTATTATTAAAATAATGATACTAAAATTTATTCATATACCTGTGTATGTTTATATGTAAATCAATCTAGTCCAATGTATACAGATGAACGTAATATAACAAACTGTACAATAACCTATTACATGTAATGAGGTCATTAAACCGCAAAATGCGGTATGAGCTCGGAGTACTAGTAGGATAGTAACAACAACAAAAAAAGACGAGTCAAATTAAAATTATAGTTGAACGGTGGGTGACACATTTCGATTACGTTTGTACGAAACGAGTTGTAATTCAAGTAGCCAGCAGCCAAGCAATACTCTCGCTCCGAGTTAATTCTCACGATTCTATCGATTTCACTTTTCCTTTTGGGAATATTATTATTATCATCATTAATACCATTATTCTTTTATCCTTACAATTACAATCATTATCATTATGCTCAATAGATATTGTTGTTATTATAGTTGTTCTTGATATTATCATCGTTATTAGAATTGTTACCACTATGACTAATAATATGACTGTCGTCATTAGTGTTACCATCATAATTACCTTCAATATTATTAACACAATTAGTATCACTATGATTTTTGTTAAAACATGCCATAGAAAGTGTAATCATGAAGATCCACTCATTCATCAGAGCGCATTGATGTTGTGTTCCCTATTCAGCATCCAAAATTCGGATCCGAAATCCGCTTAAAGTCGTAGAAATTAATGTCAAATGCACCACAGCTATTATTATTGTTATTTTCATGAATTTTCATTAATTTTATTATATTAGTAAGGTATTATTCATTATTATTATTTATCACTATTGTTGTTATTACTATGGATTGCTACTATCATCATCCGTGGAAATAAAATGGCTTGTTGAAGCATTTGCCGACTAGATTGTTTATTGAAGATAGTTTTGTTTACGAGTAATAATTCGTCGCATAAATAACTATGGCCACCCCGTTTCCGTTCACTCTATAAGCAGTATTACTTTCTCAAACCTATCAACTCGCTGTTACTTCTCCAAATTATTCCTCTCATCTCATTTTGGATCAATCGCTCTTTGTACTGAATTACCCTTTACTCTTTGCATTCACAAGGAATCACAAAAGAAATCGCATATGCGTTTAAACGGATGTTGTGCACACCAATGATGTTGTTTGTATGTGGATGATGTAGCATTAGCACATGATCACCTCCGATCAATCTACCGGCTGCACGGCACCATCTTGTTTAATAGAGATGATCCTTCGGACAACTTCTCCAGCATTGATTCACCGACCCATCGAGGAATATTTGGGATGTTTGATGGCGCTCAGTTCAAACCAATGAAACAGCCAGTGCTCTAACCATAACGCTCTCATCGCCGTATTTGTTACTTACTATTCAGTAGTACCACCATCTATCGTTATTCGAACATTGTCAGTATTCAGCATCATTCTTTCCATGATCAATGCTTTCAGTTCAAAGCAATGAAACAAACGATCGAAATCGTTCGAATTTTATCGCTGACAATAATTGTCACAATCGTCGGATATACAGCTGTGATACGGGCGGAAAGCAAACACGAGAATGTGTCGCTAAAAAATCTGAAATGTGCTCAATGTGATTATACGAATTTGATGAAGGATCAGAAGAATGAAAATAGTCTTCTCTGTAATGACAATACTTGTTCTGGCAATTTGTGTTATATTGGTAAATTATTTATTGTTATAATGTTATCATTTCTATTAACATTATTGTTGTTATTATTGCTACAACTATTGCTACCACTATTGTTTGTTGTTAAATATCAGTGGTTCTCATAGGAGGAAGAATTAGAAAGTAACAAACGTGAATTGAGGAGGTCAGCAAAACATTGTTGAAGGATTCTTTCTTGATATTCAATGAAATGTTCAATAGAGTTGTCCAAACATTTGCTTGATCACATCGGAAGTGATTCTTTTGATATCAGTTACGTATTCTTGACAGCAAATTTCATGGTCAGTGCACTGATTTCGTCATTTTCATATAATTTTTTATCAAAAATGATAGATTGCTAGATGATAGAAGAATTGCGGTCAAATAGATTGTTGAAGAATGGCGATCTGCCTTGTGTCCAAAGGGTGGCGCGGTAGGCGAGAGCATGAGAACAACTGCTATTTATCATTAATTGCTATCATTATGTTTTGTTATTGATATTATCATTACTATTATTATTGATATTATCATTATTATTATCATCTTTATTATTATTGTAATATCCGTACCATAACCAACGACATATTTCAGTAGTAAATGTGTACCAAAATGAAACACTGACAGCTGGTTGCTTGAATTTAATCGATGAAATGCGGCTCAATGAAGTGAATAATCTGTGTCACCGATACCATACCAAGAACATTACGGTTTGTGCTTGTTCCTCATACGATCGATGTAACAGCCCCACCGTGCCCATGAGCAAGTTCGACTTCACCGACCAACCCATACTCGATGAGGAACTTCCATCAGGTCATTTTCATTATTATTATTGTTATTATCGCAATAATGATAATAATTGTTCCTATTATAAGCGCTGTTATTATTGTTTATCATAATTATTGTAATCAGCATCATAATATTATCATTATTCCTACCAAACAATGTAACTGTTTAAGAGATCTTCAACATCAGGACTGATGATATCAACTTTCGGCACTTAACGCAGACAAGCAACGAGACAAATAACGAGAAACGCGAAGTAGATTTGTCTATCAATGACAACGATGACAACGTGTGAGTTATTCAAATGGTTTCATTCTAACAATGTACGAAGTAATTAACAGTTATTGCAATGATGACAATAGTAATAACAACAATAACAATAATTTCAATACTTACCAATAACAATTATAATGAATGAGATTACTGCCAGCAATAACAACAATGGTCATAATTGTATAAACGATAATACTAACAAGTTCAAGGTAATAATAATGCTAGTTTACCTACATGCATGTTATTGTTATTGTCATGAACTAATTATCCTACAATGTTGTATCCACCGGATACACAGCTTTCATTTAGTATTCTATTATAAATTTGTGACAATCGTATCGAGCTTTTGTGACATTCAAAGTTGAATTTTGTAAAAATACAAATGATAATAACAACAATAAAATGAAATAATTCATTGCAGTGTTGTCGTGCAGCAAGAAACACTAGAGCATTTAAATGAGGATTCATCTGATGGTGTTCAGGTGGGTGAGGTGGTGGGCAAAGACCCTGTGATAGTGGACCAGGATGCGGACGTCGCTTTCGACTGGGATTATTTCATGAATAATAGTAATAACAGGAATAATGACGATATAGGTAGAAGATACAATGTGAACAATGATGAACAATCAGATGAAGATGATGACAGTGGAAATCAGCAACGTATTGATTACAACGATCAATCTGTCGACGACGATGGAGATACGAAAGAGAGCGGTGATAATATCAGTAACAACGATAAGGATATGAACAGTATGGATATTATCACCAATGATAATTATAGTAATGCTATAAACGAACTAGTCGCAGCAACGGAGGGTTTCCCAGAGGATTATTCAGAACAGCAATTTGATGAACAATTAATAAATCATTTGAAATTAAGATCATCAAAGTTATCACAAAATCACAACTCTAATGATAACAATATTAACGATAGTAATAATGATAATAACAACAGGATGCAACCGAAAGCACGTGAAACGAACAACATGCATAGCAGCTCACCATCTATGAGTTGCCACTATTGTTTTAATTTAACGCCACTAATCATTACTATTCTCCAAATGATTATTCATAATTTATGATATGTTGTTATGATATATTTTTGATTGTACAATGCAAAAAAATGTTAACGGTACTAATAATTCAGAATTTCACTGTGCGCTTTGAGTACGTTCGATTTGAATGGAATTTTTATAACTGATTGGTGATCAATTATTTATTGTTCGCTTGAATAATGAATTTATTAATTTTCATTTCTTTATAATAATAAATTTATTAATTTTCATTTTTTTAAAATGTTGTTATAAGATTTTAAATTTTTCATTTCGACTGGAATTTTTTCCGAAACGAAAAACTTCTATTCATTGAGGCATTTTCATTTCATTGATTGTGGAATTTGTTGAAACAATGAGAAGGCCGAGGCAGTTTCGTTATTCATCATTTGATGATTGTGGTCATCAGTTTTGTTTAAGAAACAATGACTGCATTAAATTCGGAAAACTTGACCAGATTAGCATCGATGATATTTTTCTTGGAGGGGGTCAGTGCTCTAAAAATTTTTCCAAATAAACCGAAATGCGGGCATTCGAAGGAAACAGAAAATTCCTTCGCACCAGCGAGAGATCATTCATCAGTAATCATCGCGGTCCTCTACCGGGGTAAAAGCCCATTTCGAACACTATATCTAGCCCGATTGCAGCA